GATAACCACATTCTTGAAAGGAAAAAGATTTCCCTTTCCTTTCTGATTTCTCTCTCTCTTTCCCCCCCTTTTCTATTCCTGTACAGTCTAGCCTGACAGAATAAAAGTTAAATACACAGAAACTACTCCTCCAAGTACAGAAGAGGATGTGTTATGTAACAGATTCTCAAACAATCACCTACCTGTTTCTCTCCACAATGCAAACATCCTACCTGAAGTTCCTTGGACTCATTATATTATTTTTATACCATTTATTGTCGCCTTAGGTGCAACTGGTGTTTTGAGAAGTCAGCCAGCGAGGTTGCACTTCCCCTTATTCAAACTGTAGAAGTGCAATGCGCTCCAAACGAAAAGAAAGACCTGCATAAGATGCTATCATGACTAGGGAAAATCACTTTCTGTTCTGCCAGAGATTCAGGTAGCAATTTGTGCTAAGTAAAACAAGTTGGACTTTGATTATGGGGAGTCCTTGACTGATGATCACAACTGAGCCCAAAGTTCCTGTTGCTAAGCGAGACAGTGAATTTTGCTTCATTTTACGACCTTTCTTGTCACCGTTGGTAAGTGAATTGCAATTGTTAATTTAGTAGCTGTGGTTGTGAAGTGAATCTGACTTCCCCATTGACTTTGCTTATCAGGCAGTTGCAAAATGTGATCACTTGACCTCAGGACACACTGTCATAAATACATGGCCATTGCCAAGTATCCAAATTCTGATCATGTGATCATGGGGATGCTGCAATAGACATAAGTTTGAAAAATGGTCATAAGTCGAGGTCTACCTGTACACCGATATGTGTGATAATAATATAAAACTTTATTTCCCTTCCCTCGGTTTTAGTGAAGTAGCACAAATAACTAGCTGACCCTTTTATATGACTTGACTTCTTAATGTACCGAAAAGAAGGTTCTGGATTTCAGATGAATGAAGGTTGATATGTTGGGTTCTGCTGCAATTAATTCAGCTGTTGCTGCTAACAACAGGTGCTCCCTGAACTATTATTATCCCTAATTATGAGCCACAATTTATGTTTACACAAACACAAATAAAAATATAAATGCGATCTTCCTATGACAGCCAATAAAGCAAACCATTTTCTCTTAACTATAATTTAGTGTTTGAAGCTGACCTCAGTCTCATATGTGGGCCACGCAGTTGAACAGGAGTACAATATTTGCAGTTGAAAAATCATCTTTGCAGCAGCCCAACTAGGAGTAGAGGAACTGCTATGTAAACATGACCTAGGAAGCTTATTAAATCTAGTTAATCCTGCAGAAAAGCGTGCCAACCTATTTCACCATTACTTCACAGGACTATTGAGTGGGCCACATGTTTCTCATAAGCCTATAAATCAGTCTCTCACAAAGGTTTATAATTGACTCAGAGATGAAGCTTGACTTCAATGGCATTAAAGGTAGTTTCTGCAATGGGAAATAATTTTTCTTGATACTTGTCCATTCTTGCTCACTTTCACCATTGGGTATTGAGTTCACTTATTTTGACCCAAGAATATCTGCAGGTTATAGTAAAAAATGTCAAACGTGATAGCCATGATGATGCAATCAAAGGTCAACTTGCAATGCACATAAAATCAGAAGGAGCTATAGTCACATTGTTGCACCTGCCCTCTTGACTTTTTTGATCATGTGTTGTGGAGATGCCTGATTTGACCCAAATTTTGGGCAATTGATAAATTTACCTACTTGAGGATGGTTCTAGTTAAGAAGATGGACTTTTTCTTAGAACATATCAAGCGAAGAATGGGACCTCTGAGCAAATAGGATAATGATAATTTAGTGATGATTAATAAGTGAGCCCTGCATGGCATAGGTCAAGGTTACTTGTGGAACCATCTCACCCCACTGACAGTGGCCTGCTATGGGCTCCATCAGTCAAGGAATTGTGTGGTCCAAAAAGAGCTTTCTCTGCTGTGGCTCCTGCCCTTTGGAACATCTTATCCCCTGAGGTGAGATTGGTTCTTATCCTTCTGACCTTCATAAGGGTCTGAAAACCTGGCTCTGCCAGATGGCTTGGGGGTCTAATGGGGGAGCATCACACTGGAGGTGGCTGATGAATTAAGAGGCAATCCTACCTCTCCCACACACATCCTGTTCCCTCCCTTCCCATCTTTTAACTATAATTTTATTTTGATTGTGATTTCCATTCTTAAATATTTTGGAAATATTTGCCTGTTAGGATTTTAATGTTTTAATGCTGTAAGTTGGCAAGAGTCGTTCTGATACAAGATAGGTGGCAAATAAATTTAATAATTAAATAAACAAATTCTCTAGCAAGTCTTCAGCAGCAGAAAAATGCAGCACCACTAACATTCTGAACATTTCCCTGAGGGAAGAGATATGTACCATAATTTGTTCATAAAGCCTTATGCCAGTTTTGTCAAATGTGAGGTGGGAACATGGGTGGAATGACACTTTCTCTATGATCTGAGAACAGGTTTGGATGTTGAGTTGTAAACAGCAACAATTAATCCCTCATATTCTTCCTGGCCTCCATCTCTCCTAGACAGTTATTCCCAGCGTTCCCTTTTGAAAGCCCTTGATATTCAGTTAGCCTCGAGGCATAATGTTTGATAATATAACTACTCCTTCTGTCACTGCATTTTGTATGAACACATTATATGTGGTCCAGAATGGTAAAGATTTATGTATGGGTATGAAAAATAAAAATAAGCATTGATTAAAAGCCCCAGATAGGCCATCCAATACCACCCAAAGAACATCAGTTATTTTGCATTTTGACGTGGCGATTGATAACTCATAAATGCAAGCTGGAATGACAAATGCAGAGGGAAAATGGCTTTGACAAAAACGATAACAGTATCAGTCTCAAGGGGCGATGGAGGTATAAGCAGGAGCTGTTTAAAATATTTAATCATTTTACGAAGGCTGCAAGATGTTGTTTGACCCTGAAGGAGTGTGAATGTCACATGGATCAGAAATTGCCAAGTCTTTGAAGTGAAATAAAAAAATGGTGTTATTATAGATCCTTCTTGACATCCTATCATTTCTGTATAGGATTAAAAATATGTATACAAAGCTCTAGATAAAGAAGCCTGGTAAAAGATGTCTTGGTTGAAGGGAAGGGGTGGGGAGGGAGAGAGAGATATATTGTTGTGAATTTTTACTTCAGATTTTCAAAGCATTTCTTTTATATTTGCCTAGAATGACATGAATAGATCCAACAACCCTTGCTAAAAAAAAAAAAATCCAGTGGATTTTTAAGTCCAGGCCAAATTACATCTCACTTTTTTCCTCATGTATTTGATTTTTCACAGACACACAAAAACATATGCACACACACAAATTTCGTAGTGATATTTAACTAAAATAGATATAAATGTTTGTTTCATGTATATAACACCGCAGTATTTGTGCACACATATGCAAAAAATATAATTGGTGTGTGTGTGTGTGTGTGTGTGTGTGTGTGTGTGTGTGTGTGTGTGGTATAAGGCTATATATGAAGGAATAAGAAATATCCTATAACTACAACTGATTCCTAGAGCCCCTCTTCATGAACAGGGCCTCAAATCCAGTAACTGTGATGCAGCACTGAAAGCCATAAGTGATTCATAGATGACAATTGCCACCCTTCCACCCTTCCCTGAGGTCTTGGATGATGCCACACCTGAAACCCAGCCAGAAAAGACTACCCCCACTTCTGGAACCAGACAGGTCTCAGTAATATATGCCAGGTTGGCTCTCTCATTGATAACTGAATCGCAAATGAGAGAGATCTTTTTACAGTCTGACCTGGCATTTAGAAGCGGCAGCTGAAAGTCAGGGCCGCTGACTGAGTACAGGGGCTGAGTCCAAGCAAATAGAATACAAAATTGGTATAAGACATTGGCTGTCTCCCTCAATAACTCCCCAGGCCCATCTCTACCATAATACTTTGGCCTTCCTCCAACCCAACCCCCCGAAGATAGCACTATCTCTCCCAACCCCAATCTCCCAATTCCTAAGGCTGGACATCACTCCCTATCATTAGGAAGTGGGGGGGGGGAAAGCCCTATGAGATATTTCACCTTCCATACCTCTCAGTACCATCATAATGCTCAGTGGACATCATTCCCACTCATACTTGAGGCACTCAAAACTACCCTCCCACTGACAGAAATCCCTCCCTACCGCTCTTAGTGACCAGTCCAGGACTCTGTCTCCATTCATGCCAACCCTTTCAGTACTCTACAGAGAAGATAATTGGTCTTCAATGAAAAACCTACAGTCTACAAATGTAGGCAATCTAACCAATAGATGCCAAACAGACAATGCCAAAGTGGTAAATGCCATGTCGTTCTTTTCTTTTACCTGACTAACATATGAGAAGGCAAAATGGCCTTCTCAGGGAGGAGGAGGGGTCACAGAAGCCTTCCAGTCTATTATGATTGTCCCCCCTCCCCTGCCCAGGCACTACCAACTGCAGCCCCAAAGTCCTGGATAGTTTTCCAAATAGAGTCCCAATGTTCTGGATGGCCTTTCAGATGGAGAACTGTCCTAGTAGCAACCACCAAGGTCACACACTGTCTCAGCAGGCAGAGAACTTCTGTCATTAGCTTGCAGCAAGAATCTTCCAATGTCCCAATTAGCTGCAAGATGGTCGCATTTTCTATCACTACCCAGCAAATCCAGTAGCCAATACTGTCTCTCCTACACAGCTGCTGACAAACCTCCTCCAAAAAAAAAGAATCTACAGGGCACAAAAAGCACATAGCATTGGTATTGTGGGTCAGTTTCCATAGTTGCCACCAGGTCCATGGTGTAGCAAATACATTAGGCTAAAAGAATGCAACCCAAAGAGCCAAACAGGTCCAAATTCAGGTGCTGACCCAACATTCCCTTAACAATCCAAACAATCCAGTACATTAATTTGAGAACATTAATCTGTGGAACCTGTTCTCTATACCATTTTAATCTCTGCTGATTGGTATTCGGGAGTTTACTATGGCCTTGGGGTCACCAACAGAAGAAGGAAGGAGAAAAAGCATCAAAATATGGAACAGTTTGTATGTCATCCTTGCACAGGAGCCATGCTAACCTTCTTTGTATCATTCCAATTTTAATATATGTGCTGATGAAGTGAGCATAAATACAGTAATCGCTTCTCTGGAAAGCTATATAAACATCATTATTAGTGAATACTGAAAGGCACGAATGTGGCTCCTCTTTTTAAAAAAAATATGGTTAATAATTGGGATTTGCTCTTGGATTCTCCCTTGTCATGGTCAGATCGCTTCCTGATTACCATGGGATTCCCTAGTGGCACTATCTAGATCAGGAAGGTTGGATGCATTAGGTCAATGATGAACCAGGATGGGTTTCAGAGGGAGATGAAGTCTGTTCCTCCTGGCATTCTGCATGGACCGTCTGAAACTTTTGTTACCACTTGGAAAGGAGATTAGCTGAGGCTTTGAATTGGACTGTGTCTATATGAACTCTTCCCTCTTGTAGATCCCATCACTCCCTGCAGTTCACAGAAAAGCTGAGGGAGATGAAACAAGTGAAGAGATGTCTAGAGTATTTCTGGCATTCAACAAGGGATGAGCTCAACTGAACACAAATTAGAGCAACTATTAAGGCCTACCTTGTGATGGTAATGCTGGCAAAATGTCAGCATTTTTTTGCTCTTATTGCATCTGCAGATAGCTGTCTTGTGGCTCTGTTTCAGATGACACAAACCCTTGCAATGGCATGCAGAAGAATTTATTCAACATCTGTCAGACAGTGATGCTTGAATTTCTTCTCGGTTGGACACTGGCTTTGATACAGATCCAGAGGAGATGTCTGAGAGGAGTCTTGTCTAGTTAGCTGGGAATGGTTTGAATCTTTGAGTCTGAGGAAGCAGACAGGATCCTTAGTACTCTGAGTCCAGCCACCTGCTCTTTAGGTCCATTGCAATCCTGGCTTATTAAAGCCCCAAACAGATGTGGGTCACAACCTGGGGCCCCTCCTGGACTTATGACTTCAGCTCAAACAGCAGGTGGCAGTGTGGCTAGATGGCCCTTTGAACAACTTTGAATTGTGCATCAGTTGTGCCCATTCCTAGATCGGAGGACTCTGCTCACAGTCCCATATACCCTAGATACCTCTTAATTGGACTACTCAAACTGTATCCAAAAGCTTCAACTAGTGCAAAATGCAGTGGCATGGACAGGTGTGTATACATGTAGAACATCACAATGAACACTTGTAGTCCATGAACTGTATTGGTTGTCAGTCTGTTTCCAGGTCCAATGCATTGTGCTAATTTTCACCATTAAATCCCTCCATGGCATGTGGCCAGGTTATCTGAGGTATCACCACTCCCTATTACAGTATATCTGTCTGTCCCATCACATCTGGCAGAAGAAGCATGGTACAGGTTCTGTCTTCTACACTGGATGGGTCCCAGGAGGCAAGCCTTTTCTCCTGTGGCACCCACCTAGTAGAATAGTCTCCCCCACCCCAAAGTGAGACCCTAACCCACCCCTGTTGATTTTTCCAGAAGCCTTCAAAACCTGGTTAAGCTGTCAGGCCTGGAGACCCCAGTGAGGTATTGAAGTGGCTCTATTGTGGTTAAATGGAGACCCCAGTGAGGTATTGAAGTGGCTCTATTGTGGTTAACATTTGTGACCTCTCTTAGACTTTGCAGTTTTTGTTTTTATTTTAATATTTAAATTTAAATTTAAAATTTAATATTTCTTTAAAACATTAGTTGCTTTATACTTTTATTGTATGCCACTCAGTTCACCTTTTCATGAGATGGGTGGCCATACAAATTTGAATAAATAAATATGTGTGGTTTTTATATATAACATATGTACATACATAAGCAAAAGTATCATTGGTATGCATAGTGTAAGATTATATATGAAGGGATAAGAAATGTTCTCTAACAGTTAGCATCTGAACTAGTTATAAAAACAGTCTTAATAATTATTTTTTTAATTCATAACTCCATTTTTTTAATTCATAACTCCTTTCTTGCAAGCAATGCTTTTATGTTCGTTATATAATAATAAAACCGTAAACCTGACATTGAACATCAACCCCAAATGGTGAATTCTCCTGGTTCTGGTAGAAAACATTTCAGTGGCCTGAGTCTGTTGGAAGGAAGAAGTTCTCCAAAAGCTGAAAAGGCATCCTTATTAAGGTAATTAATAAAATTAATTAAAACATAATAATAAAAATACCTTTACCTTATCAAAGCAAAGCAAAGTTTCTCAACCTTGGCAACTTTAAGATACGTGGATTTCAACTCCCAGAAATCCCCAGCCAGCCAGCAACTGTGCTTGCTATAGTTCTCCAGCAACTATAAATGTCTGAATAAAATTACAATGTCATATATTGCATAGTCACAAATACACATTTAATTATGCTTCTTGTTCATTTTTTCCATGTAGGTTTCTATTATATTTTGCGTTAGTGGTATTTCTGATTAAATTCAAAGCTGTCATCTTTTTCATTCTCTCAATTCACAGCCCAGTTAAGCTGGAAATACTCTTTCTCTCATGGGGTAAAAGCATAACACAGGCATTCAAATTCCCTTCAGCACTTAACTGATATATCTGTAATGTTATTATGATTTAATTTGTAGAAGCTAAAGAAAAGCTTGTGAAGAAATGTTTTCTTTTCGTTTCTGTGTTGGTCTTGGCCATATCTTTTCTCTGCAGATTGACTTAATCTTTCTATTTTATCACATCAGCAAATCATTAAACTCCAGTATTTCATTTGCCTTGAATGGCTGCCTTAAATATTTGTAATATTCTCTTTTTCTCAATTTCAAATTTTTTCCTTTCTAGTGACAAATATTTCTCTTCAATATGCATTTTTTTTTACCTGAACTAATATTCCATGCTAGGAATTTGCTAAGCTTCTTGCTTGCTACGTACCAGGGTCTCTGTACATTTTTTGAGCACTAGAAAATTGAACATATTATCAGTTCCCATTTCAGTGCTCTCACAATTCTTTGCATTTCTGGCCGGAGCTGATCCTTGTATTTGCTTTGGATACCAGAGATGCTTTGTGCCTGGCTGCAGAGAGGTTTTTAGCCTGAGCTCATTTACATGTCTCATTGACTGCAGCTTATATGACGGGCAATGAAACCTATTGAAAAATACCAGCTTACTGCTGCAACATGATGCAGTCCTGCAGCAGATCTGTGACGTAATAAACCTTTCTCCTGCAGTATTTAGGAAGAGCTGCATAAAGCGCATCTACATGCACAGATGTAGAAGCAACATAAAGAAAAACACAAAAGGAGAAGGGAAGAGAGAGATATGATTCCTCAGAATTATAATATATTTATTGTCTGCTCACATCTTCAGACATTTCTTATTTAATAATTAATATACTCACCAGATTATCTTTGCATTCCATTTCTGTACCATGAAATAATATAGTTTAACTAGTTTAGCCCTATTTCAATATTGTCACAATATTCTCTCCTTGCCTATTCCAATATTTCTTTCTCCCGTGCCAAGGAATTAATCCTGAGAATATTGGGCCCAAACTACCTTTTTTCTCTATAAAACAATTGTCATTTAGCAAGCTTTTCCTTACCAAGGGAGGGGGGGAAATGCACTTTAGGCAAGTTTGGTCAATCACTAGACTTAAGGCAGTAGGCTAGAAAGCAGGAGACTGTGAGTTCAAGTCCTGCCTTAGCCATAAAAACAAGCTGGGTGACCTTGAGCAAGTTACTCTCTCACAACCCAACTCTCTTCACAGGATTGTTGTAAGAAAAAGAGGAGGAGGAAAGTTTGTTGTATATGTTTGCCACCTTAAGTTATTTGTAAAAATAATAAAGGCAGGATACAAATAAATAAATGTTCCAACATCCACTCTATTTTTCAAAGCCCATTAAAGTAGCAATTTATCAACTTGAATATACCACACAGATTAACTATCAGGGTCCTACAAGTGGTTGATCTTATGCTAACCCAGATTTGTCCAATTTGTTGGTATGTAGGTATGTTTGAACAACTCCCTTAATTTTCTCCCAATATAGTCTAACTCAGTGCTATTCAAACTTGGCCATTTAAGATGTGTAGATTTCAAATTCCACATCTTAAAGTTGCTGAGGTTGAGAAACAATGATCAAACTAATTCAGAGGTCTGAAGATTAAGAAAACATACCCTCAAAAACATGGAGATGTCTTTGATGTTGAATTGCTTGGTATCACCTCCAGGTTTCTTATCTGTTGGCCTCACCTTCTCTAAATGACATGGAGGTGTTTTTGATGTTGAATCTGATGTTCTCTAAACTCTCAATAAATTGCATGTCACCTATTCTTCGTACTTGGAAACCAGGTGGACCGCACTACCCAGTAATGTGTTGCCATTCTAAAAATGCATCTTATACTACAAAATGCTCTCTTAGGCCAACTTATCACTTTGAGAGCTACACCATTCTTTTTGAAGGAGGGTATTTCTTGTTTGCTTCATCAATTTGGATTTGTTTTTTTCCTTGGCTTAGACATAAGTTTTGTTGAATGAGTTCATTGTTGAACGGCGTACATCCAATATCCAGTTTGTTTGGTGAGCAGCAATTACAATTGACTTTGCACATTCTTATACATTTATAAAGTATCTATTTGAATTGTTGATCAATACTTAATACTTCAAAACGTCCGAGAAGTAGTCTGAAGTTCAACTATTTAATCCATTTATTTACATTATACACACAGTAATAAACATGATTACTTTTCGTTTACATGGTTTTCAATCCTTTTTGTAAGTTTATTTTTAACATTTCATATTTATTTATTTAAATTCATGTTAATTTATAAGTTTGTTATTTATGCACTTATGTATTTTCATAATTTTACAATTTGAAATTAACTTAGGAAGATTTTTTTTTCTTTTTCAGCCTAATTCCACCCCACAAGATATTTGTATTTTCACCTAATGGAGTAGAATTCTTATCCTGATGTTTAAACATTTCAGGTTCATTCAACTATAAACCATATTGTTCATAGTTTCCTACTCACTGTTAGATATTTGATCACAAAATTAATGTTCAAATAAGTATTATCCAAGTTGGAAAAGTTCAATATGGGAAAATGTGCAAATCAGTCTGGTGTCTTAATAAATAAAAATAGCAATTTTA